TTTACTTATTTTGTTAAATATTTCTCAATTACATGTAAAAATTTAAAATATTCATTTAAAAATTTTTTTGAGTGCTAAATTATCTTCCTTCCTTATGCCTTTCCCTCACCCCTTGAGAAGGAAAGCAATATGATATCAATTATAAATGTGGTCATGCAAAATGTATTTCCATATTAGTCCTTTTGTGAAAGAAAATAGACACAAAACACCCAAGAAAAATAGAGAAAGTTAAAAAAGTATGCTTCATTCTATACTCAGAGTTCATCAGTTCTTTCTCTGGAGGTGGGTAGCATTTTTCACCATGGGTCCTTTGGAATTGTCTTGGGTCATTGTATTAATCAAAGTAGCTAAGTCTTTCAACAGCTGATCATCCTTACAATATTACTGTTACTATGTACAACATTCCTCCTGGTTTTTCTCACTTCACTTTGTATTAGTTCATGTAAGTCTTCTCATGTTTTTCAGAAAGCATCCTGCTTGTCATTTCTTATAGCACAATAATATTCTGTCATAATCATATACACAGCTTGTTCAGCTATTCCCTAATTGATACTGCCCACATATTTTAGCTGCTAAATGCTGTCAGCCATGATACTTCTGGGGTGAGAAAAGAGCACCAGCATTTCCCCCTATCATTCTTGAGAGCAGATAAAGTAAATCTGAATTGATGGCAGATGAGGGGGAGAGAGAGACAGAAGGTGAAGTCACTCCATCTTTAAAGTCCTCTAAAGTTGGCCACTTGTCCTGGTATATTGGACAGTCTTATTTGGCACAGTTAAGATGCAGCCTTCCCAAACTGAAAGCTAGTTCAAAGATAAGCACATGTTTCATCGAAAGTGGTCAGGGTGTGGACTCCATACTCCAGGGAGTATTTTCTAGCTAGAGTTGACAAAGAGAGGTGGGGTTAGTATTTACCTGAAATTGCACTGGAGTTCCAAACTTATATAATCACAGATGCAATTGGGAATTTTTGTTTTAGGGCAGTCAACATAAAGCATAACTTTAGTTATGGAGGCGAAACATTGGCCTGATGGCCAGAGACGACAGAAACCCAGGTCCTAGCAGACCCACTCTCAGGCTGTGTGTAGCTGGGTGGGACAGCATGAAAGGGTAGGAAGGATGTCATTCTAGTATGCTACCTGGAGTATCTATCTTTACAAGTTATTCTTATTTATGCTTAACTGTTATTTTTATGCTGCTGAAGGACTGAAAGTGCTGTCAGCACCATGGACAAAGCTCAAGTTTCTATGCCCTAATTATGGATCTGTCTGTGACACCTGCCTTACATATGGACAACTGCCCTGGAATAGCCATACTAGCCAGATAGCCACAGAGACTTCTCTTCTTTCCCTTCCTGTGCCACTTGGGATTTTCCTCTTGCCTTCTCTCCTTGGCTATTATGGCCTAGGTTGGAATTGTGCAAAATGAAAAGTCTTTTCCTTCTCTTGGTATTTCCCCTCCCACCAATTACTGTCAGGCATCAGAGACATGATTGTAAGCAAAAAAGCTTATTGCACAGAGACCCAAATTCAGGCATAGCTTCCTTTTTCTGAGAAAAATTTACTTTTTTTTTTAAGAACAGCAAAAATAAAAATACCACACCTCAGAAAGGCAAGATAAGCCTTACCTTAAGATAAACTTTTAGTTCAAAATGAGTAGATAATTCCCATCGATGCAGCCAGATTTTATCTTGCTAACTCCTTGCCAAACTAGTTAAGTTATTACCAAGCTTAAGCCAAATTTGAGGAAGATCCTATTCTCAGATTAATTAAAAAGATGTTCTCCCCAGAAACTCAAGAGTCACTAATGGGTCTTGAGTAGCAGAAGTCTAGCAGGGGCCAGGGGTGGATGCCCGGCTTGACTAGAAGTGTATAGTATAGTATAGAAAGATGGTGCCTCTAGGTACCAAAAAGCCAGAGAGTAAAGCTGAGGTTGGAGGCTAGGATGTTTAGGCCAAACCAGAGGGATTCAGTATGTGCAGATATAGTCCTAAGAGTCAGATTGGGCAGGAGAAAACTCACCTCATTTGGGCCACAATTTTTTCATTAGTAAAAATGAGGGAATTGGAATAGATACTCTAAAGTCCTTTCAGCCGGTGTTGCAGTGGATTGAGCACCAGACCTGGAGTCAGGACAACCTGAATTCGAATCCAGCCACTTACTTAGTTATGTGATCCCAGACAAGTCATCAAACTTCTGTTTATCTCAGTTTCCTCAACTATAAAATGGGGATAAGAATAGCACCTACCTCACAGGGTTGTTGTAAGGATCAGATGAGATATAGTACTTACAGAAAGCACTTAGCAGAGTGCCTGGTACATAGTACCTGCTATAGAAACACTTCTTCCCTGCCTCCCTCCTTTTCTTCCTCTAAATTTTAGGGTCTTCAATGGCATCCAGGTATACAGGTAGGAATACTGTCTAGGCATTAAAAAAACTGAGGGAACAAGTAGAGAGTGTAGTCTGGGCAGGGAGAATGGGAACAGGATCCATATGAACAGGTCATAAGGTGCAGAAATTCCATATGATGGTAGATCCTTGGACAGGACTATTTACCATCTCTCCTGGTTGAGCACCCTTTCAAATGTGATTACATAACGGCTGGAAGATGTGTGGCAATCCTGTAAGACAAGCCCTTATAGATTATTATTTAGTGATTGAATTGCGATCAGAGGCCCTAGTCTTCTGTTGCAACATTCTAATCCCTTTCTTGTTTTTTTTTTTTTTTGTTTTCCTGTTTCAGGCATCAGCTTTTTTTCTTTCCCATTTGTTATATTCTTCCCTTGAGACCTGAGAGGTCCCATTCTTATTTCCAGAAAAATAAAAACAAAAAACACCCAACCCTTAAATCTTTTTTTTTTTTGTCGTCGAGGCAATTGGGGTTAAGTGACTTGCCCAGGGTCACACAGCTAGTAAGTGTCAAGTGTTGGTCTAAGATCAGATTTGAACTCAGATCCTCCTGACTCCAAGGGTGGTGCTATATTCACTGCGCCACCTAGCTGCACCCCCAACCCTTAAATCTTGAGTTTGAATCCTGGCTCTTACATTTAGTTCCTTTGGTGACTTTTGGCAAGACAATTTCTCTGGGCCTCAGTTTCCTCCTCTGTGTGTGTGTGAGGAGTGAAATCATGTTTAAAGTATCTTCTGGGTCCAAAATTCTATGAGTCTATAATATTCCCAAAAGACAGCATGGTGTGGAGGATAGAAACTGGCCTGGGAATCAGGAAAACTCTGGCTTCAAGTCCTTCCTCTCATACATACTGGCAGTGTGACCCTGGGCAAGTCACTTCATTTCTGAGTGCCTCCAAGTATAGATTTGCATTGATAGAGAGACTTCCTCTTCATAAGTTATACCACTGAAATCACAGGCCTTTTTCCCTTAAGAGGGGAATGTTTGGTTCTTTTATTATTGTTTTTTTTCCTATGAGAAATCTCTAAACCCCACCCATCTGCCACATATAACCAGGTTTACCAATATACAACTGGTTCCCTTATAACTATTATGGAGCTGAAAATGAATTAACCACAAGGATTTTTAAGTTAAAAATCTAAATTTTGTAGCAGAACAAAGTCAAATTTTTGTGTTATTTCTTCACATGAATGACCAAAATTGGTTATGTAGTAATAAATTAGACAAGTAATTTTAATCATAGCTTTTAAAAAGCATCTACCTTGTCTTTTTTGTGTGAAATATAAAGGCATTAGTGTACATGGAAGTCAGGGTATTGCTTATCACAAACATGGGATGGGTATCTCCCATAAATCCCCTGTTTGTGTATACAGACAGCATCTTTTTCTCTAGTCTATTTTGCTTCTTTCCTTGAACTGGAGAGAGAGCAAGGATATGATATGTAATAGGAGTATCAATTAATGGCTAAAAGTTTAGTTTTAGGTCTTTTAGCAGAAATTCCTTGGGAACAGCAAATTTTGGTTCAATCATTTTAGGAGACAAAAAGAGAGAGAGACAGAGAGAGATATGGAGAGAGACAGAGAGAGACAGAGAGAGAGAGAGAGAGACAGAGATAGAGACAGACAGAGGAGAGAGACAGAAAGAGAGGAGAGAGAGATATCGAAAAAGAAAAAGAGAAAGGAGAGAGACAGAAACAGACACATATAGACAGACAGTGAGAGAGAGACAGAGAGACAGACAGAGACAGAGACTGACAGAGACGGATAGACAGAGACAGAGAGACAGAGATAGAGACAGACAGAGAAAGAAAGGGGAGAGACAGAGAGAGAGGAGAGAGACAGATGGAGAACGGGAGAGAGGAGAGACAGAGAGAGAAGAGAGAGGAGAGAGGAGAGAGAGAGAGAGAGAGAGAGAGAGAGAGAGAGAGAGAGAGAGAGTGTAGTGAGGTGAATGAGAAGCCAAGAACAAAGATACTGAGAAAATATCTGGTTCACCCTAGGGATCAAACTTAAAAAGAACTGACTGGGGTACCCAGAACACCTCTGATTCATGTGGGAGAAGTTTTCCCTCAGGGTTCCTTGTTTTTCTACATGGCTTTCTGTTAACTCTGGATCTTTTCAGTTTCAGTCATTTTTCTGAAATACCCATCTCCCTGTTCACTTTGTTGCTTTTTATTTTTTTCCCCTTCAACCTTCATAGAAAATTGAAATGAGTTCTCAGAGCTAGATAGCCACAGGCAGATTTAGGTTACAAGGTAGGAGCTATGGTAATTTCTCCATGTAATCTGTTTATTGCTGGTCCTTGAAATGATTTGGGGAGGTAAATGCTGCAGTCACTGCAACCCCTCTCTTGTTATGTTGAAGTTGAGGAAGGGTCTTTCTTTGCAGGGTCTTTCTGGGACAGTCCAAGTCTAGATACAAAGAAGGCATGTCTCTATTTTCATCAGTCTGTGTCTCCCTGAAATGGGGCATGGTCATGAAGCTCTCTTCCAAAGATTCCTGCTTTTTACATGTTCTCATTGTTTACCTTCTGCCCACTGGGCTTTCTACCTTATGGGTGGACTTTCTTATTAGGGTGACTTTTACTTCTAGATGGAGGAACTGATCGAGGGAGTCCGCTGGGCCTTCATTGACATGCTGGACAAGGAAAATGAGTGGATGGATGCAGGGACAAAGAGGAGAGCCAGAGAAAAGGTAAAGAAATCTGGTGTTAAATTTTTTTTTTTGTAAGTGGTTTCATGCTTGATGCTGATTTAAGGTTTTGATGTTTGTGCAATTGTTGAAGTTTCTAAAACCTACCAGAGTAAAACTATATTTTGGGATGTACAAATAGATTTTACTCTCTGGAAATAAGAGGAAACAAGGCCTGCCCTTTCATTTTTCTAATGGGATTTTCAAAATTATAGTAGTTCTGGTATTGTGGATAGCATGCTGGGCATGATGTCGGGAAGACCTAGGTTCAGATCCCAACTCTTGCATTTTCTAGCTGTGTGACCCAGGGCAAGTGATTTAACCTCTCTACATTCATAATCTCTCTAGAGCAGGGATTCTTCACCTTTCTTGTGTCACAGACCCCGTTGTCAGTCTGGTGAAGCCTAGGGACCCATTCTCAGAAAAATGACTTTAAATGCGTAAAATAAAATACATAAGATTGCAAAGGAAATCAATTACATCAAAATACAGATATATACATATAGGTACAAAGAGTTCCACACTGGGAGTTCCCAAACCATTGGTTCTTCATGTAGTTGAGTGTTTTTGAAATAATTTCATACTTTGGCCTTCAGTTTGTTTGTTTGTTTTTTAACAAATGGTTCTATTTAGCTATACTGCCTGCTAGCCAGTGATTTTGCATAAGCCTCTTACAGTATATGGCAGAATGCAGAACAGCAGGGAGCTAAGGGGAACAGCTGGCAGGAAAGACCTGAACAACAAAAGAAAAGGGAAAACCCTGTATTGGCTCTGTGTCCTCCTGCTGCATACACAGTGTTATCCCTAGGTCCTATGGCTGATGCTGCCTTTGTAAGCAAATGAAACACATCCTCTTACATTATTTTTCAGAGATGACCCAAATAGCATGACCATCAAGAGGAGTTCTACTATTTACTACCTGTGTGACCTTGGGCAAGACATTTAACTTCTCTGAGCCTCAGTTTCTTCATCTATAAAATGGGGAGGTTGGATCAGGTGAACTCCAAGATTCTCACAAGCTTAATGATCCTGTGATCACTTTAAACTTCGGTTACTCTGCTAAGGATGGCCCTCAAATGATCAAAGCCTAGTGCAGCGGAAAGAGAACAATTTGCCATCCCCAAACCTGGCTTTAAATTGCAGCTTTGCTGTTCACTAACTGTGTGATTGGGAGCAAGTCATTTAATCTTTCTGAGATCCAGTTTTCTTATCTGTAAATAGATGAGGGAAGGGAAAGAAGAAAGGCAACAGGCATTTACTAAGCACCCACTATGGGCCTAAGGAGGGATGAACTGGCCCAGGTTGGAAATGGAGCAGATAAAAGCTTTTGTGTCAATCAGCAGTGGCATCAGTTCTACCTGGGTGAGATGTTGGGAGAAGGGAAGGAAATAATAATTTATATAGTGCTCATTATGGTCCAGGCACTTGGCCTAAGCACTTCACAAACATCACATTTGACCCTCATGATAACCTTGCAGTGTAGGTGCTATTATCATCTCTATTTTATAGTTGGGGAAACTGAGACAGACAGATGTTAAGTGACTTGCCCAGGGTCATACAGCTAGTAAGTGTTTGAGACTGGATTTGAATTCAGGTCTTCCTCACTCCAGGGCCAGCATTCTTTCTACCATATCATCTAGTTGCCTTGTACTAGATGACCTCTGAGGTTTTTTTCCAGCACTAAATGTGAGGTCTTCTGATTGACATGTACTCTAACACATAGTAACTGCCAAGTAATGAGACATTACCATGAACTACCTGTGGAAATCAATCCCATCATTTTATTTTATTTTTTTTAAAATTTTTAAATGGACATCTTTTGTATTCCTATCACTTTCATTTCTGAATAGAGCTCTCCCCCTTTTCCCAGCTCATTACTTTATAATCTCACCTTATTTTCTGTACTGAAGGAAATTCTGTCCTTCAGTGGATCTAGCAAAGCTCTTGACTGCATATTCCCAACCCATTGCCCTTGGAGTGGATGGTGTGTCAGCAAGGACCCTCCCACTTCAGGGCTGTAATCTCCTCAGTGCATATTTCTGTCAACATACATGAAAAGCTTGCTTGGCATTTGACAGTGAAGAAGAACAAAAGTGGGGAAAACAGAGTAAAGGTTAAGTCTTATTCGCCCCTTCCCAAGGCCTGTCAATCAAGGCTGTCCATCATCTTGTAGGGAATGGGCAGAGGTTGCTCACAGAGGGAGCTAAATTACATTCTGAGGTGGGAAGCTGGTGAAGGGGCAGGGGGACTTCTCAGCATCATGATATTGTTTTGAGATGATTTTTTTTTCATTCATTTAAGGAGTTGGAGTCTCTTCTAGAGAATCTTTGTGCTGTTGCAGTATGGCCAAAGAAAATCAGTATTACTACCTCAGCTCAGTTTTTAGCAGCCTGATTCCTTCTGGGAGAAGGGAACCTCTCCTGACTGACTGACTCTCTCTCTCTCTCTCTCTCTCTCTCTCTCTCTCTCTCTCTCTCTCTCTCTCTCTCTCTCTGTGTGTGTGTGTGTGTGTGTGATACAAGCCTAGTGTCCTGGGAACAACAACCTCTTTGACAAGTCCATACAGAGTTCATCTCAGGGAGAGTGGTGAAAGATTGCAAATGATCTACTGCATCACTGTTTGACATTCTAGTCAAGGTGACTGGGAATCCCACTTTACACAGAACTAATCTTAGTTCTACTCTTATTAAAGTGTTCCTGTTTGTCACCAGGATTTCTCTGAATTTCTTTGTGCATCTATGGAAACTGCTACATCATCGTTATTATTTTAATAAAGTGCTCTTCTTCTGATGACCTGACAGTTCTTAGAGATGAACAGAACAGGTACAAGAAGAAAAAGCACCTTAGTTATTACATTTAGATCCCTGGGGAGCCCCAGGCAGCATCTTAAGGTGCTGATTGTATTTGGAATATCAGAGTACTTAAAAAAATGAAAACAAAAATTCAGATGCTTCTTCTTCATCATCCGATAAAAGGGAAGGGCTCTCTGGGGCGGATGAAGGTGAGCCCTATTTTGGACTACAAAAGATTTGTGTTTTCTTTTTCTCTAGAATAAATAAAATGCAGTTCTTAATACGTTCTCTGGATGGAGCTCTTGGTACTTGAAAAGACCATACATAGTTAAAGAGCTGAAGGCTTTTAATGCAGTATTCTGATTCTGGTCTGTTTTTTGAAAATTATTTTTTCTTTGTCATTCTTTCTCGGCTGTATCTGACTTGATTGTCTTTTAATAGCCAATAAGAATGGGGGTGCTCTACCTACTAATTCCTTGAGTCTTAGATGGAAATCTCTGATTATTTACTAGATTCTGCTTTCTGATACTGTTTAATAACTCCTGCATTAAGAAGAGATCCTTTGCTTTCACCTACATTTTAAGTGGAAGTACATAAATTGCCTGCATCCCATGGTAAGCCTTGGCTTTATTTTTTGGGCTTATGTTATTTACCATAACCTCTATGCAGAAGATGTCTCATCAGTAACAGTGTGCACACTGGACCAGTGCTGAGTCGCTAGGCAAAAGAAAAGCTGGAAAATGAAATGAATTAGAGGGAGGAAGCTCTACTTTTCCTACCAATTTAAAGATCATATGTTGACAATGAGCTGTCTGGCATGAATGGTCTTTGACCACAGCATTCCATAGTTAATGGACCTCCTGAAAGTGGAAAGAAACAAAGACAGGGAATGAAAATGGACAAGAGTTTATTATCATGGCATTTGCAACAGTGCTACTTTGAAGAAGGAAATTTATTGATATTGTTTTGTCCTGTTATTTACTGGAGGTGATCATTGCGAGTGATCAGCAATGGTGGCCTTACTTCCTGGGAGTAAACTGGTTATCCTTGCCTTCTTCCTCACCTCCAGAAAGAGCTCATAAGTAGTTTTTGTATTATTTAACAGTCTGCAGTCTGGTGTAGTTGAAAGAGCCTTGAATTTGTAATCAAAAGATCTGGATTTGAATCTTTTCTGCTTGTATAACCTTGGGTAAGCCATGCTATCTTTCTAGTCTTCGATGTTGTCCCCAGCTGTCAAATGAGGAGGTCAGATTGAATAATTTCCAAAATTCCTTCCAGGACTAGATCTTATGGCAAGGTATTTTTTTTTTAACTAATTGTATAGTCTTATGAAGTAAGTAAAACCTCCTTTTTTATGACCATGTATTTTGTAAATAATTAGAGAATAATTATAAACAAATATTATGGCATAGGGATTTGTTAATCTTTTTTTTTTAAGCAAAAATAGATACTGATCTTTTTTTTGTCCAGCACTATGATTTCATGATAGGCTCATAATATGGTAATTACCTCCATCCATGGAGATTTGCCACTTCTCCATAATTTCTGGTCTTAAAGACTGTCCTGGCAGCCCTGAGAGGTTAAGTAACTTGCCCAGGGGTACCCAACCTGTATTTGTGGAAGGATGCATTTGAACCCAGCTCTTCTTAACTCCAAAGTCAGCCCTCTTTGCATTACACCTCAGAAAACAATTTAAAAAATAATCTTAGGGAATCCTTTTTCTTGATCAGAGTAGCCAGAACACAGGTCATTTTGTAATGATTCCCATTCCGATATTATATTTGGATGGGGCTGCAGATCCACTGTAGCTTCAGAAGCAGAGCAGACAATGTGGTACTGGCATCAGGGGGAGTTGATTTGATTCCTGGTTCTGTCCCTTAAGAGCTGTGTGGCCTATGTCAAGTGACTTCACCTCTCGGACTTTGCTTCCCCGTCTAAATTTCGTAGAATAATACTTGCATCACCGAGTCTATTACAGGGTTGTTTGGAGAGAGGTGCTTTGCAGACTTTCAAGTGCTTTATGAACATGAATTTGATGTTGGGTCATTTAATGAAAGTTCTGACAAAGTGATCTTCCTAAAGCGTAGATTTGATTTTATTACCTCACTCTGTAAAAAACAAAACAAAACAAAACAAAACTATTGGCTCCCTATTACCTCTAGGGTCAAATATAAAAATCTCATTTGGCTTTGAAAGCTCTTCATAGCCTGG